AAGGTTAAAAATTAAGTAGCAAAAATGAAACTGACGCGGGTATTTTTTTTTTTTTTTAATCAGCTTTTATGAAATACTGAAATTATTTCAACAATTACAAAAAACATGAACAAAAATGAACATTATTTGCTGCTAGTTCATGGCATAAGTTTGTTTTGTACTAAAAGCAGGCCTGTTCTTGAACAAAATGAAAAAAAAAAGAAAGAAAGAATTACTAAATGAAAACAAAAAAGTAAAAAATAAAACACATAGAAATACCTGACTCCAAATGCACACAGGACAATCCTCTCTCTCTCTCTCTCTCTCTCTCTCTCTCTCTCTCTCTCTCTCTCTCTCTCTCTCTCTCTCTCTCTCTCTCTCTCTCTCCTTTCTCTCTCTCTCTCTTTCACTCTCTCTCTCCCACCCCCCCCCCCCTCAGAAAAAAAGTAGAGCAATTCATCACAAAAATAAAAATTAAAAAAAAATAATAATTCACAAATGACACAATTAAATACAGTCATGAATTACAGAATGAACGTTGCGGCTGCAAAACTTTCATCAGCATAAAAAAAAAAAAAAACAATGATGCAATTACGTAAAAGAAAACACACAATAACTTTGCATGGATTTATCCTGGAAATATGGTTTTGTGATCAGCAGAGCAGCCAGCAAGCACGTCAAAAAATGATGATTTACACGACTGTCCTCACTCTTATTTGTCTAAAGCAGTAATAATACATTAAAGAATTACTGAGAAGAATGTTGAATTAGGAATCGACATGATAGCACTCGTGGCATTTCCACGAGCGCTCTGTCCTTATCTTCAGCAGCAAGCGAAAAGCTCCAATTCTGATAGCACCAGAAATTTCTGAGAAGAGAAATGATGTAAAGACAATGCAAATTAGTGCTAAACCGTCTTATACCTATCCCCAGGGGGTTTGGGGGTGGAAGTGGTGAGGGGGGGGGGGGTTCAAAGGGACTCTTAGCTTTTTAAAGGGGGTAATAATAATTATACAGAGAAACCTCTTTAAGGCGAATTTCAAGCGACCGAAACATCAGGCGTTCGTTTTTGGAGAATTTCTACACTTCGGTGGCCAATCACATTGCATTCCTGCTAGGACTAATAATGTGTTACTACTGTTTTTGTTTATTCGATGAATCAACATCACTGCAGACGGGTGTAACCCATAAGTGCTCGGTTCTACTTCTAACTCAAATCTGAGCCTGTCTCAGGGAAATGCACGAACGCCATTGCATACGGGCGTCCGATCTCACTACCCAGAGACCAGGGGAAATTACTTGAAATCCACAAGAAAAAAAAAAATCCTAGCCTTCACCAGGTGCTTGAACCTGGGACCTCCAGCACTCGAGGCGGACACTATACATCGAGACCACTCAGACCCTTTATTTAAGCTGGCTGTACCGGTAAAACTAGTTGGTGTTTAACAAGGTTTTTCGGTACATTTTTAACCTATAATTGTGTGCTTAGTGACACAAATATGGTAATAGAATTAAAGCAATGTTTCCCCGATGTGAATTTGAACAAAGAAGACACAAACAATAGACTGCACTGATCGACGACTGGAACAACGGGTTGCTGAACATATGGATCCTATGGTTGGTAAAAGCAATGCAGAACACTAACACCTCAACAACAACGAATCAGGTGACTGGTCGAAATAATCCATCATCAGCAATTGCGTGCCATATTATAGATTCCGGGCACATCATTAACAAGGATGATGCATTCCGAATTATTTACAATTCGGCTAACCGTAGATTACTTCGATACGCGGAAGCTTCAGCGATTGGCAGATTGAAACCGGAACTATGTAGGCAAAAAGAAATGGTCGTTGCCCTACGTTTACCTTGGTGAAACAGTTTGAAATCGACTCGAATTTGTGTTTCAGTTTCTAGGATTCAGCTATTTGCTTCATTTTAATTAATTGTTACTGTAGTATGCACCTGATGAGATACAACGAAATATGCCAGGCAATAAATTGTGCAGTCTATTGTTTGTGTCTTCTTTGTTCAGATAATAGAATTGTCTAAACGCATATTTGGAAAAAGAATCTTCCATATATGAATAAGAAAGCATAAGTAAAAGTAAAGGACCGTTTTCCCACACCTTCGGGTGTATTGGACATATAGGGCTAGACCTATATGTTATAGACCAATCGGCACTGGGTGAGTGATATCGTCAACATAACACCAGTCGCCTTTACTTCCTATGAGCTTACCTCTTATCCATTTAAGGTTAGGTCTACCTGGGAGTTAAGGTGATATTTGAACAGAAAAAGTTCGGTGCTATTAGGATCTGAACCCACGACCTTCCGAGCCGCAGGTGAGCGTCTAGCACAGGGGTTCTCAACCTGTGGGTCGCGACTCCTTGTGTGTGTGTGTGTGTGTATGTGTGTGTGTGTGGGGGGGGGGGGTCGAACAACCCTTTCACAGGGGTCGCCTAAGACCATGGAAAACAAATATTCATTGAAGTTATGAAGTCATAACGGAAATAATTTAGTTCCACGTTCGTCTCTCTAAACAAACTAGGTCATGCTCCATTGATAACTTTTTGGACTGGTCTGCTGTCTGGGGGGTTGTGGGTGTGCCGCTATGTTGTTTGCTTTCTGACTTGTCTGGCATTTACGTTTTTCTTCCGAGAAAGAAAAAGCCTGTGACATAGGTTGCAGCACTCTCTAGAAGGGTTGTGTGTTAGACCCAATTTCTAAATATTTTTGTAGTGGTAAAAGCGCTGGCGTGCTTAAATATACAACACGCGATATCAGCTGCATTGCTGAACACCCCCCGTAGCAGTGTGCAAAGGTCGGGTGACTTAAGGTCGACCAATCAGAAGTGAGCTAATGTGTATATGGGCGGTCTCTGTGGGGACTTTCGTGGAACTAACCCGAAAAAACTGCATGCTTGGTGGTCGCAACATGAGGAATTGTATTAAAAGATCGCCACAACATGTGGAACTGTATTAAAGGATCGCCACAACACGAGGAACTGTATTAAAGGGTCTTCACTACATGTGGAACTGTATTAAAGGATCTCCACAACATGTGGAACTGTATTAAAGGATCTCCACAACATGAGGAACTGTATTAAAGGATCGCCACAACATGAGGAACTGTATTAAAGGATCGCAACAACATGTGGAACTGTATTAAAGGATCGCCACAACACGAGGAACTGTATTAAAGGGTCTTCACTACATGTGGAACTGTATTAAAGGATCTCCACAACATGTGGAACTGTATTAAAGGATCTCCACAACATGAGGAACTGTATTAAAGGATCGCCACAACATGTAGAACTGTATTAAAGGATCACCACAACACTAGAAAATGTATTAAAGGGTCTTCACAAAATGTATAACTGTATTAAAGGATCACCACCACATGAGGAACTGTATTAAAGGATCGCCACAACACGTGGAACTGTATTAAAGGATCGCCACAACATGAGGAACTGTATTAAAGGATCGCCACAACACGAGGAACTGTATTAAAGGATCGCCACAACATGAGGAACTGTATTAAAGGATCTCCACAACACGTGGAACTGTATTAAAGGATCTCCACAACATGAGGAACTGTATTAAAGGATCGCCACAACATGAGGAACTGTATTAAAGGATCGCCACCACATTAGGAACTGTATTAAAGGATCGCCACAACATGAGGAACTGTATTAAAGGATCGCCACAACATGAGGAACTGTATTAAAGGATCGCCACAACATGAGGAACTGTATTACAGGGTAGCCGCATTAGGAAGTTTGAGATCCACTTATCTAGCAGAAACATAACGGCGACCTCCCTAAGGAGGCATTAGCACTCTTGCCACTTTTCATGGGGAGAGGTCGGAGAGAAGGTGTAGCTGACCAGGGCTGCCAATGGGATTTTTTGAAAAACCCAGCTTTTTTTAACAAAAACCCAAGCAATACATAGACAAAGAACAAGAAAACAAAATAAAAAACCCAGATTGTTAAAATGTACAAAATTTATAGTAACGAAACGAAACAATTACCACTTTTATATAAGGATATATTTAAAAGAAAAACCCAGATTTTCCTGAGGCCTCTGAGAAAAACCCAGATCTGGGGGGGGGGGGGGGAACCCCAGCATTGGCACCCCTGTAGCTGACCCTACAAATTATAGGTTTTCAGTTCCCGGTTCAGTCTATGTGTGTGGATAGGGGGGTCAGGATGATGATCTTAACTAGGGCTTGTGTTTGTAGTAGGGCTTATTTTAACGCCCGGCTCACTACCGCAGTTGGTTAAAACCCTCTGCGCGGCGACCGGGTGACGAACTTCTTGTGGTCCGGGTTGACGCCTGGGAGTAGGCAGAAAAGTCACATTTCTCCCAGATTTACGGTATCTGTCGTGGAATCGAGGCCAAAGGGGTCGCGATATCTATAGTACCGAGCCAAAGGGTTTACAACTCATAATTTTTAGATACTTAAAAAAAGAAAAAAAAAGTGACCAACATCCAGAAAAATCATGCTAGGTTCCTTTTTTTTAGAGTTAAGTGGATTTTGGGTTAACAGGGTACTTCTACTCATGACGTGTGGTTTTGTTGGTTTAGTACTATTATCAGTTTAGTGAATGCTGCTTTTCATACCAGAGAGAGAGAGAGAGAGAGAGAGAGAGAGAGAGAGAGAGAGAGAGAGAGAGAGAGAGAGAGAGAGAGAGAGAGAGAGAGATAATGAGTGCGTGAGTGAGTGAGTGAGGGAAAGTGAGGGAGAGTGTAAGAGGCAGACAGATAGACATACAGACAGACCGGCATAAAAAGAGAGACATAAAAAGACTGCCAAAGGCATAGAGACAGGTATGGACAATTATAGAAATAGAGAAAGAGAATTATATATATATATAAAGAGAGAGAGAGAGAGAGAGAGAGAGAGAGAGAGAGAGAGAGAGGAGGGGGGGGGGGGGAGACTCACTCACTCACTGACATGCTGACAGACCGACGGATAGAAAGACATGTAGAAACTCAGACACATATATTTCAAACACGTTTAACAAATCGGCATTTGAAATATGGCTCCAACTTTAGGATCCATGGGGAATCCCTTTCGCATGCCCATGCAGTAGGAGGCGTCGATCTTCAGCGAGTTCTCTTTGACTGAAATGTCATGCTCCAGGGTAGACTTCGCCTTGACCAAACGGGCAAGAGAAAGTTCTGAAGACTTCAGACGTTCTTTGAGAATTCGCACGGACTCACGGATTTCTGAGATCTCTCGTTGTAATCTGTTAACGAGGCAGAAGAAACATTAGTAGGAAAACGGGATTTTCCAGCTTGTCTTCTGAAAACAGTGTCCATGTTTGACCCTGATAGGATAACGTTGGTAAGAATGTTGTGTTGAAAAGTATTTTTATAGTGTTCATTTTCTCATGCTTGCATTTCAAAATTGGTGTCACTTGGCCTAAAACTTGATTGGTTTTATCGCATCTTTGCTGGATTTCATTATTTATTCTTCGTCTTCTAAAAAAAAAAAAAAATCCAAACCTATGAAATCTAATAAGTTCCACACATATAGATATCAGTCTCCCAGGTCGACCCAGCCTTGAGTGAGTACGGGGTGCAGTCCTGGGACGTAAAGGCGGCCTACGTGATGCTGACCACACAACCCATCTTGTGCCGATTGGTTTATAAAAATATAGGTCTAGCCCTTTATGCCCTATACGCCTAAAAGTGTAGAAAAGGTTTACTTTTTTTTTTACTTTTTAAATAGATATCAGTGTAAGTTAAACTCTGGAGCGAATGGATTTGCGTCCTGACGAATCCTGACCTTTTTTTTTTAAATGACCTTGACTCCCAAGTCGACCCAGCCTTGATTGGGTACCAGGTGCAGTCCTGGGAAGTAAAGACGGTGGGTGTGATGCTGACTACATCACCCACCAATTGCCGATTAGTCTATACAAATTTGAGTCTAGACGTACATTTCCAATACGCCCAAAGGCGTCAAAAAGGGACCTTATATTTTGAGTTATGCCAGGAGGAGCAGCACATATTGGAGAAAAAAAAACAAAACGAGACTGTCCTTAGAATTTCTAGTGGCAGAGGCACAGGCAGCTGAAATTTAGTTGTGTATCTTTTACAGGACGTTGCAGAACCAGCCCCAGCATTTTCTTTTGTTTTGTTTTGCTGTTTGCGATTTAACTCGGCAATAACTCGTTCAGTAGTTTGCCATTGTTTTTTTGTGTTTTTTTTTAAACGGACTTTTTGTCATGGCATGGAGGAGTGTCAATGCTTAAACTTATACATGCTGCATGCTGATCGCCGATTGTGGATAGGCATTATCACCCACGCCAGTCGGTAAGACACTTGATAATGATGATGATGATATATGTAATAAGATTTAACGGCCTCTCAAAAAAAAAAAAAAATACACAATATTACAGGGATTAGTGGAAGGGAAGAAGAGAAGAGGGAGACCAGGAAAGATCTGGATTACAGAACTTGATTGACTGGACAGGCCTTAGGCATGCAACCATGAAGTCCATTGCATTTGACCTTCAAAGATGGAGGGAGCTGATCAGTCAACAGCAACTGGTGACCCAGTGACCTGCAGTGTTCCCGGACGATGACGATAATGATAATAATGAATGTAATGATGGTGAAAAGAAAAACAAAGAAGGAAACAAAAAGAATAGTTAGCTGATAATGGTCTTACGTCTTCATGACGGGATCGTTGCAGAGCTCCACGTTAATCCTTCTGGTTCTTTCATCCAGTCTGGTCTGAGCAACCTTCATGGGCTTCTCCTTGTCGAGAATGGCTTTCCTGAGCAGGGACACGTTCCTCTCCATGTCGAAGATCTCCTGCATCACCTGCAAGAGCCACATTTGAGGATACACATCATATGCAACAACTCTCCTCAGGCTGTAGTTCAGCGTTTCTCAACCTGTGAGAGGCGACCCCTAGCTAAATAAAGGAAGTTTTGTTGGGCCGTGCTACGTAGTTCGTGCAAGAGTTCACAGTCTCCTATCGATAGGACTGGCACTATTAACCGCGTGACGCTAATGAATACGTTGAAAGGGGAATCTGAGCGCTTATGGATGTGTCCGGAGTGATCTAAAGATAATCTAACTCATAACTCATAACTCAATGGAAGTGCTTGCAAGCGCCAATATTCCCATATTTTAAAAACTTAAAAAGTGGTTAAAAAATTTTTTTTTTTTTTTTTGGGGGGGGGGGGGGGGGGGGGGTGACTGCAGTCAAGCTAACACTAAGGAATTCCAGTGAAATGTGACTTTATGGGGCGAACTGCAGTCAAGCTAACACTAAGGAATTCCAGTGAAATGTGACTTAATGGGGCGAACTGCAGTCAAGGTAATACTAAGAAATTCCAGTGAAATGTGACTTTATGGGGCTGACTGCAGTCAAGCTAACGCCAAGGAATTCCAGTGAAATATGACTAAAAAGCAAAACGAAATGGGGAAGAATAATTCTGTGCACGATTTTCTGCTTTCCCATTTCGTTAAGCATTTTAGTCACATTTCGCTGTAATTCCTTTATAAACTCAGTAAGTGACATTTTCAATATCAAACTCCAAACAGCTTCCAGATCAAACCAGCCTCATAAGGGTACCATGGAAAGTCCTGGGGAAAAAAGGTGGCCGGCGTGATGTTGACTTATATTTCCAAAATGTCTAAAAGTGTGGAAATTGGTCCTCTTTACAATTGTACCTCAGAATCGACATCACTACACTCAGGGCAGGCCACGCAAGCACGGTCTCTCCCAGCATAAATCAAAAGATGTCTGTGCCATCAATCAAATAATTCTGACCACTATGTGTTTATAGAACTGAAAGTGGAATTGTATGCTGCTGCCCGCTTCTGCTGCCCGGTTCTTGTCCTAGTGTGTTGTGTGTGTGTGTGAAATTTTTCGCTTGAATGTTACTCAAGAAAGGAGTACAGTTAGAAATAAGGATATAGAAGAACATGTCGACACAGAACCATTTCTAAAGTACACACAAAGACAGCAAATCAAATGGTTTGCCAGCGTAGAGAGAAAGCCTTGTGGTGCCATACCTCACGGGGCATAGACCAAAAATGGGAAGAAAGTAGAGCACAAAGTAGAGCAAGAACAACATGGAAAGATAACATCAGAGAAACTCTACAACAACAGCATGAAGTCTCTAAGGTTGAGGCGACCAGAAGAGCAAGAAGTAGAACCGTTTATCTCCCCTCGATAACCGAAAACGGTAAAAGAAGAAGAACAAGCATGTTGCCCTAAAATATCAACATTGTGAAATGAAGCAGTGTTTCTCAACGTGGGGCTCAGACCACAAAGAGAAAGTGGGGAAAAGGGGGGGGGGGGGGGGGTTGGGAGGTGGTTGTTTAAAAAAAAAAGGGGGGGGGCAATTTGATTGTTGAAAAAAAGGGGAGGGGCAAATTTATTGTAAAATGGGGAGGGGGGAAGGGGATTGATTGTTGAAGGGGGTAATTCCATTGTTGAAGGTGGTTGGGGAAGGGGGGGGGGGGGGTAGGGGATTGATTGTTGAAGGGGGTAATTCAATTGTTGAATGTGGTTGGGGGGGGGGGGGGGGATTGCAATTTGATTGTTAAAAGGGGCAATTCGACAATGGACTCATCCAGAATGTAAGTTTGTTTACCGTTTAGCGATGTTAAACAGAGCGAATACGAATTTTAGAAAGACCTAGGTGGGGATAGCACAAACAAGACTGGGAACCACTGAATGAAAAGATGATGTTCACCTTTTGCAGATGAGCTTGCAACTTGTTTCTAGCATCTGTTGTTTCCCGAATCCGTAAGTTGAAGGCATTGTTTACCGCATTGAAGTTATTCCACATTTCATTGGCGCATTGTCTCAGGGCGCAGTCGATCTCGCCACGAATCCTTTCGCTGTTGGCTCGTTCTTTCTGTGATCTGGCGATATTCTCCTGCGTATACCTGGCCCAAGACTCCGGGATTGTGATCCTGTGGACACATTAGGAGGTTTGCAAACGGTGGAGCAGTGGAGATTGTTCAACAAAGGTCAAAAAGGAAGATAGCCATAGCAATTCAAAGATTAAACAAAATTAAAAGCAAGCACCAGCAAGGAAATCAAAAGCGCAGTTCAGAGAGCAATCTTCCCTGAAGCAACATACCGACACGAGTCGCGAAAAAGAAGAAGAGAGAAAGAGGAGAGGAGGAAGAAGAATTGGTCAGGAACATGGTGAAAGAGATGAGTTGTTGTAAGTTATGTTTTACGGGCTAGCTTCACCTCCTTTATTGTAGTCTAGTGGATTGTAACCAATAAGGGACTCACGTATTGTCAATATTCTCAATGCCGGGCACGTATCCGACTCCCGCTGAAGTGTTCCTCAGTTGTTGCATGCGATCATCCAGGACTTGTGCGTGATCTTTGTCTTTGGCGTCAATCTCCAGGGCGTGCTGGGCTGCTCGGTTCATCCTGTGGATATTATTAACGGGGATACAGTATTTTAAAAAGTTGTATTCATACCAAGATTATACTACCAGTTCTAGACTTGAGCTCTACACAAAACTGACATATAGTATAAACCATATAAGAGCAGTTTTCAAACATACCAGTCTTCCTAGCTGAAAGTGGTCAATGAAAGAGAATTTGAATTTGAATACCAGTCTTTGTGTATATAGGGATTGACTAATTCATGAATAGACCTAACGTCTAATTTTAAGCTAACAATCTTGAACTACTCTAGATACACTTGTAGGAGGCAATTTACGGTACGCAAAATCAATGCATTTAAGAGCGAGATGTCACAAATTTATTTATCCTAAATAGTTGTGAACACTGACTAGGCGAAAGCTATATCTAAGTTACTGCTATAAAATCTTGCTCCTGTGATCAAACTATTCGTTACTCTTTCAGAAAAAAAAAGTTTCGTTTGCAGTTTTTGTGTTCTCATTCCTGAAGGGATCAGTATTCAACACAGCTATATTTAATTTCATTTATGTATTAATTATTTCTCTTCTGCTTTCATGTATTTAATTCACATGTTTACATTTCCCTCACCTATTCTTTCATCAAAACATATTTTCTCTTATTTCTTTTGGTAGTAAAGCATGTAATTTCTATACATTATCAACAGCAGCAGCAGATACTACAACTGTTACTGCTACTATTACTTCTAATACTACTTCTTCTACTACTACTTTTACTACTTCTACTACTACTACTACCACCACTACTACTACTACGACTACGACTACTACTACTATTACTACTACTACTACTACTACTATTACTACTACTACTACTACTACTACTACTACTACTACTACTACTACTACTACTACTTCTACTATGACTACTACTTGTACTACTAGTACTACTACTACTATCACCCCCACAACAAGAACTACTGCTTCTACTACTACTACTACTCCTACTACTACTACTATTACTACAACTACCACTACTACTAGTACTACTACCACCACCACTTTTACTTTACCTTTAGTACTACTATCACTACTACAAATTCTTGTATTTACAATTACAGTGACTGCAAAGTCTTGCTAGCAAATAAATATACTTACTTCAGCTGAATATGAGCATCTTCCAAAACTTTCTTTAGCTTGGACTGACATTTTTTGATCGCCTGAATCTCCTATAACAAAGAGAATTGTTCAGTAAGGGGACATAATCATCAATTCTTCTTTTTTTTTAGTATGTTTGATTGATTGTCGTTCGTTAATAGTAAACTGCGAAAAACGTTTTGATCTCGTAGAGCCCAATGTTTTTATTCCGTTTGTACATTTGTTCTATACTTTTCTTCCTCAGAATATATTCAGCAAGAACAACAAAATACGGTTTTCATTTGAAGCCCTCTATGATATATCTGACCTTCTGTAAAGTCTGCTTTTCTATATGATTTTCTATTTTCTAGTCTATCTTTCTGACAGTTTTCTGCCTGTGTGGTTGCCTGTACATTCTTTACTATATTAACTAAGTCGTACCCATGTGGGATGCAATTTTTTTTTTTTTTTGAAGCCCTGCCCTGGCTTCTGCAGGGGCCCCTGAATTTAGCCGGGGCATAGATATGGCCTAGCCATAGATATGGCCTAACGGCTGAAAGGTTTTTCTGGAACCTCTCAACGGGTGATCCTCATTAGCATTTTGGCACTTTGTGTCACGGGGTGTATATCGCTTGTGTGATGTCCTGGTGTGGTACAACTACCTACCTACCTAGCTGGTTGCCTGTCTATCTAAAAATATCTGGTTTTCAGTCTGAATATCTGCCTGCCCGCCTGTCTGACTGTCTGTCTGTCTGTCTGTCTGTCTGTCTACGTGCTCACCTAGAAACTTACTCCTGTCTGTCTGTTAACAAAATATCCAAAGAATGCTAGCTACCCGGAACCCCTGAAGTAATGCTTGCCACATTGCACGAAGCATGCCTGTCTTATCCTTTCTCAACATGCTCTGTGAGTCAGTTACAATCACGGTATATGTGTAACACCTGTCGCGTGCGAATGTGCACCAGAACGCACCAGTACGGAGTGAGCAAATAAGACGTCAAAACAATACGTAACGTTGTTATGATAATGTTGTTGTAAAAAGCAGTTGATGTTTATAGTTCGAAGGAGACGGACGTGGGAATCCTTGAGGACGCTTTACCCCGGGATCCCACGGAAGCAGACGTTATATAAAGTTGGATCCTTGAGGACGTTTTACCCCGGGACTCCAAGACCTCAGCAGGAAGCTGGTGAGCACTACATTCTCGGCAGTATGCCGGTATACTTTCATTGCTTAATTCGGACTTGTCCGAGGAGAAAGTAAATCGTCTGGATCTCAAGGTCGGACTGCGACCTATCGTGAGGACATATCATTACATGGATGTACGAGCGAGCTTTGGTTGAACGAGTTGATTATTACTTGCATATTTCTCCTTGTATTGCTGATTGTATACATCAATACAACCGTTGGAACTTAACGCATAGCGTTCGAGCTCTACCTTTTGAAAGCATTGAAGTAACTACTGTTTTACCCCTACTTGGCCTAATTCATCTTGGTACCACACACATCAGTTTGAAGCGCCTCCGCACGTTACAACACCCCCCCCCCACCACCCCAATCACTGCTCTCACCACCCCAATCACTGCTCTCACCAGGCTGTCACGATGTTTAATGTGAACAACTTTCTGGAGAGGATGCTGTTTATGAGCCAGTTATTCTCAATATTTTGATCATTCGGGATGTCAGTGTTTTTCCTATCTTTCTTTGGTTCATGGTATTCTGAGAATTTTAAAAAAGCTCTGAGTTGTTTCTTCAGGAATCCATGACTCATATCCACACTTTGCCAAAGTACAGATGCATGATCTCAAAATGTTACTTTAACTCCCTTGCAGGGGCTGTGCCATAACATCCTTGTCTAATATATGATCTCAAAATGTTACTTCAACTCCCTTGCATGGGCTTTGCCATAACATCCTTGTCTAATACATGATCTCAAAATGTTACTTCCCTTGCAGGGGCTGTGCCATAACATCCTTGTCTAATACATGATCGCAAAATGTTACTTCCCTTGCAAGGGCTGTGCCATAACATCCTTGTCTAATACATGATCTCAAAATGTTACTTTAACTCCCTTGCAGGGGCTGTGCCATAACATCCTTGTCTAATACATGATCTCAAAATGTTACTTCCCTTGCAGGGGCTGTGCCATAACATCCTTGTCTAATACATGACCTCAAATGTTACTTCCCTTGCAGGGGCTGTGCCATAACATCCTTGTCTAATACATAATCTCAAAATATTACTTCCCTTGCAGGGGCTGTGCCATAACATCCTTGTCTAATACATGATCTCAAAATATTACTTCCCTTGCAGGGGCTGTGCCATAACATCCTTGTCTAATACATGATCGCAAAATGTTACTTCCCTTGCAGGGGCTGTGCCATAACATCCTTGTCTAATACATGATCTCAAAATGTTACTTCCCTTGTAGGGGCTGTGCCATAACATCCTTGTCTAATACATGATCTCAAAATGTTATTTCCCTTGTAGGGGCTGTGCCATAACATCCCTGTCTAATGCATGACCTCAAAATGTTACTCCAGCTCCCTTGCAGGAGCTGTGCCATAACATCTTTGTCTAATGCATGACCTCAAAATGTTACTTCAACTCCCTTGCAGGAGCTGTGCCAAAACATCCTTGTCTAATACATGACCTCAAAATGTTACTTCAACTCCCTTGCAGGGGCTGGGCCATAACATCCTTGTCTAATGCATGATCTCAAAATGTTACTCCAGCTCCCTTGCAGGAGCTGTGCCATAACATCCTTGTCTAATGCATGATCTCAAAATGTTACTCCAGCTCCCTTGCAGGAGCTGTGCCATAACATCCTTGTCTATATCTCCTAAAAGATACAAGTTACCACATGTTCTATCTACCTTTCTGTCGCACCTTTATAAGAGATCTCTCCACGTCATCATTGACCAGGTCTATGCCTTGCCTCTGTTCCCTGTTGAGCAGACACTCCTCGGAGATGTGCAATGGGTTTGCCGTGTCTCCTAGAGCCTTTTCACAAATGCGTTTATATTCCTAGGGGGAAAAAAGAGAAGACATTTTGAACAAGGCTTAAATAGAAGTCGAAATAAATAATGTAACTGTACTGTTATTTTTTTTATTTTCGGCTTCTGTGACTTAGGCGTTGTAAACGCTCTTTGGAACTCAAAAGGTGCCGAGTGCAATCACAGCTGAGGACGATTTGACAGCAGACCGACTTGGGTTGGTTTGGATAGAAGCATTGAGGGACAACCGTTAAGACAACAGCGACACAGCTTAGTTAAATAATAAACAGCCTGAACATGCCGGAGTTGGTTCCGCAGCATCCTGTGAACTGTAAAGAATATGCTACTAATGTTTATTCGATCGCATTTAGTCCAGTATCTCTCCCTCTCCCCTCTCTCTCTCTCTCTCTCTCTCTCTCTCTCTCTCTCTCTCTCTCTCTCTCTCTAACCCAACCTCTGTCTTTTATATCATTCCTGCCCTTCACCCAAAGCAGACACTCCGTACATTCAAGCACAACTCCCTGCTTAACCAAAGCAACTACTGTTCTTGCGACTGATTCGACAGTAATGTAAGAAGTAAAGTAAAACAAAAGTAAAATATAAAGTTACGAAAGTAACAGAAAAAAAAAAAAACGGATTAGAAAAGTAAAAAAAACAAGTAACATTTAAAAAAAAAAAGGAAACTTAAGAAATATGGTAAAAAATAAAGTGTAGAGTGAAATGTAAAGTTTAGAAGTGAAGTAAAAAATAAAGTGTAAAGTAATTTGTAAGGTTAAAAAGATAAGTACAGAGTAAAGTTAAGAACCAAATTGCTGCCAGTAGCGCATCGAGCAAATGGTGATAAGACTCATTAAAATAAAAATTGACCAGTAAACACTCGATGAGAGATGTAGTCAACATCATACCGGCCGCCTTTACTTTCCATGACATTACCTGGTATGCATTTTAAGCTGCATTGACCTGGAAAGCGAGGACAATTTTAAAAACACATAAATCTGACACCAGTGCGGATTTGAACCCACGCCCTTCATGGTAGCATACGAGCATTCTCCTACGGCTCCCATGAACCGATGGACGGAATCGAAAACTAAAAGCCAACAATACCACAAGCGTAAAACATCACAACCCGCCACATCTTAAGCCCACCACACTACAATCAAACCAGACTACACTCCCACCACAAGCCCACCGAACCCAAAGCCCACCACACGCCTACATCACAAGTCCGCCGCACTAAAAACCCACAGCAAGCCTACACCACAAGCCCCATGCACCAAAAGCCCAGCAGAAACTCGCCACACCAAAAGCCCACAACAAGCTCACCCCTTTACAGTCAAGCAGAAGCCCATCAAACCACAATCCCAACAAGCATACCCCACCACAAGCATGTTGAACCCAAAGCCCACCCCACGCTGGAGCACCACGAGCCCACCGCACCAAAATCCCACCACAAGCCTACTACGCCACAACCCCACAGCACCAAAAGACCACCACAGGCTCACCACACCACAAGCCCACCTCACTACAAGCCCACAACACCACAAGCCCACCACACAACAAGCCCACCCCACTACAAGCCCACAACACCCCAAGCCCACCACACAACAAGCCCACCCCACTACAAGCCCACAACACCACAAGCCCACCACACAACAAGCCCACCCCACTACAAGCCCACAGCACCCCAAGCCCACCACACAACAAGCCCCTCACATTACAAGCCCACCACACCACAAGCCCACCACACAACAAGCCCCTCACATTACAAGCCCACAACACCACAAGCCCACCACACAACATGCCCCTCACACTACAAGCCCACAACACCACAAGCCCACCACACAACAAGCCCACCATATCACAAAAATGTACAGAATACTACCCTCAAATTTTCCATTTCTATGTCCATAGCACTGATTTCATTGTTGAGCTGGGACTTCCAGAAGGCAATGTCTTGGACTCTCTCACCTGAAGGAACGTCAGACATACAGTACATACATAACTCTGCCATTATTTGGTAGCAGGAGAGCTAGAAAGAAAAGAATGAATAGAAATAAGTAGAAAGAAAAGAGAAGGAAGAAGAGGAGGAAAACAAGGAAGAGGAAGAAGAAGAAGAAGGAGGAAAACAAGGAAGAGGAAGAAGAAGAAGAAGGAGGAGGAGAAAAAGAAGAAGAAGAAGAAGAAGAAGAAGAAGAAGAAGAAGAAGAAGAAGAAGAAGAAGAAGAAGAAGAAGAAGAAGAAGAAGAAGAAGAAGAAGAAGAAGAAGAAGAAGAAGAAGAAGAAGAAGAAGAAGAAGAAGAAGAAGAAAGAAGAAGAAGAAGAAGAAGAAGAAGAAGAAGAAGAAGAAGAAGAAGAAGAAGAAGAAGAAGAAGAAGAAGAAGAAGAAGAAGAAGAAGATGATGATGATACAGGAGAAGACGAAGACAAAAAAGAACAAGAAGAAGAAGCAGGAGAGAACTAATAAGAAGATACTGGTGACGTACACAATGACGATGGAACATTAGTACTTCCCTCAGCTAAACCAGGCAATCTCCTTTCAACAAGTGTTTATAATTATCTGAATTTATTTACATAAACACCATATTATAGCCCCCACTGGAAAAAACAACCAGTACAACACATATCATTCTTGGTCGCCTATTACGACATGAATGACAGGTTCATCCTTATGTAGCAGAACGTCGCTTAAATCATTGTCTGTCTGAAAGAAACTTGGTCTCTGGCCAAGCTCTCACACCTCCATTACTTTCCTACCCAAGCTGTTACTTACATCACATGCCCATCTTCATGCTGGTAGGACGCTGCTCCTCATTCTTAGTTTTAAAAAAAGTTAGCTGTGCATCCTTTACAGGACGTTGCAGAACCAACCCAATATTTTTTGGCTGTTTTCTTTTTTCTAGGCAAGCTTACGTCCATTTTTTTTTAAATTTCTTTCTGGGTGGTCGGTTTCTCGATGCCACTGTAGAAAGCAACGCATGGCACAAGGCCCATGGCTGGGATTGAACCCGGCATCCTGGCATTACGAAGCACGTTCGCAACGCCGAAGCCACAGACGACGACTCTTTCTTAGTACTTGCCTTTAACTATGGGGGTCTGTGGCAGACCGTTAATAAAACCGGTTGCCATCTTTTAGCTAACTGAGAATCACTGGAATAGACGATTTAGTTACCCAGGCGCTTGGTGACGTCAGTTTGTCTATTACGAGTTCGAACGTCGGTTTCCTTGACTGCTCTCCAGGCATCAGCACGTAGCCGTTCAGCGAAGCTCCGCTCTTTTTCCGACAGGGTGAAATTATTGCTGTTTGAGAGCGACCAGTCATTGGGTTGGTAGCGAGAGTATACTGTCCGGCTGGGAAAAAGAAATAAACAGTATGTATTATAATCAAATTAACAGTGCCTGGTTGGGACTCATAGAAAGAATGACTGATAGGCAACTGGTCGTTGACGCTCTGAAAAGTTATTTGTTTCCAGCTAAGCTTTGCTGATTCGAATTCTCCATTTCTGAACCGGGAATCCAAATGTTTCGTCGCCCAGATACCAACTCGATTGCTTAGTGCGACACTGTGAGATGTGGATTTCATGTAGGGCTGTACCGAATATTTGCTTCGTATTCGCTTCGGGGCCGAATAGTGGACCTAAAAGCTATTCGGTATTCGACCGAATAGTGGCGGTCGGGCCGAACACAAATAGTTATTTCTGCACACACTGCGATGGACTGAAATAACTCTCTCATTAACACAATAGTTGCCGTTATTAAGTCTGTCGTCGCGGGGGAAACTGCGACCCGGTTGCGTGGTACAGCATCTGGCAAGGTCTTTGCCTGCTGACTTGACCGAGGCATTATAGCAAAGGTTCACGAACTGGCTGCGCCTGCCAGGGGTGTCGCGGCGAAAATCAAGAAAAGTCGGCTATAAATTGTGACATTATTAAAGAAGGCATAAAGATACTTAAAAGTTAAAATTTAAATTGTCTTTCCTCGCTACTGTTAAAAAAAGTTTGTTTTCTTTGTTTCACACTCAAAGTGTATCATATTGCATAAAGTGCCAACCGCAGTGTGCTAAATATTGTCTTTGGATTTATCTCGGCATGCGTCCGATCCTCCATCTGTATTCGTGAAGGTGCAGCAGATAAGTAAGGATGTGACTACATTTTGGTTCAAATTTTAAAGTGGAAAATGGGGTCTGTATAATAATAACTGTTAGCCTCGTCGAATAAGCAATGCGTTCTTTTTTTGTTGTTGTTGCTTCTGTAAGTGTGTGTCTGTGTGTGTGTGTGTGTGTGAGAGATAGAGAGAGAGAGAGAGAGAGAGAGAGAGAGAGAGAGAGAGAGAGAAAGAGCGAGAAAGAGTGAGAGAGAGAGAGAGAGAGAGCATGTGTCAGCACATGAACTGATAAGTGCTGCAGGAGATCGTAGATTGTGGCGAAGCAAATTCGCCGCCAGTCGGCAAGGCACCTGATGATGATAATACACTATTCGTATTCGTATTCGGCCGAATAGTTGGTCCCGCTATTCGTATTCGGCTGAATAGTGAATATCACTATTCGGTACAGCCCTAATTTCATGTGAAGTGTTTTTAAATGTCGTGTGTTTACTGCACTAAAATGGATGGTGGCTGAATATTATGTTTAGAATTTGCTGGCAATTTAGCAGATGCAAAACCGACTTTGGCTAATAACTATTGGGACCAATAGTGAACTGCAGTTCTGGTGTGGGACTATTAGTGTTGGCACAACTGACAGCTGCTTATGCATTTTTAATTTACGTATGCAGGCTTCAGGATTTTGCTGGGGCCGACAAGTTTTCACTAGTTTTCAAATGAGACTTTGTTAGTAAAATCAGAGAGCAGCTGGAGTGTACTACATGAGAGCAGAATGCTACAAGTCAAGACTAAGAAATAAATCGGTCGAGCAAGTTAAAGAGTCACCATAGACACGTTATAAGACATTAACACAAGACGCCTATTTTATTATGGACAGACCAGAACAAGTCATTATCCTCTGCCTCAGAACAGGGCACAACCGATTACCTAACCACATGTACACAAAATTCAAGATAGGTGTATCAGCCATGTGCACCCGTGGAAATGTGCCCCAGACAGCCGAGCATGTACTCCAGGACTGCACCGAATTTGACACATTAAGGCAAACCATTTGGCCAGAAAGAACAACAGTGGAACGTAAACTCTAAGGACCACTGAATGAACTAACAACGACAGTGAAATTTATACAAGAGACAAAACTGCTGTTATAGACAACTTATTTCAGGCGAACGAAAGAAGAAGCAGAAGATTAACACAAGCTACGCAACTAGCAAACGACAGGTAACCTCTCATTCCTCTCTGCCACGCTTTAAATCGTTATTCGAGGTTCCAATATCCATGCAGACTTGTCGCTCCCTGTCTGCTCCGTTCCTCTGCCAGCAGAAATCAGAAAAAATGATCTTAAATGTCTCATTTGTAGCAAAACAGAGATAGAGTAGCCAACCCACACTGGGGCCCTGGAACCCACACGAAAGAGTCAGTTTGTCTGATACGCTTGGCTGAACTGCTTGACTGCCTCTTTCTGTTTACATCACTTTCGTTTCCTGCATTCATTCGTTCATTCCTATACACCTTCTGCCTTTTTCCCCCCTCTCCCAGCTCCACCCTCACATCCCCACTCACACCTTGCTAGTCTGTGGCTACTGAATGATTGCCTGTCGCTCACTGCCTGTAAACTCCAATGGGAAGTCTTGATTGTGTAGCGGCGATCTCTAGACTTTGGCTGTGTTTCAGAGCCATGAGGTTTGCATGGAAAAGCAGCTAGCTGATTATAACATACTCGCATACACACACACATCCACACACACACAGACAAAGCACACACACCAAAGTGGTACTTACGTTGCGGGGTTGTAGTAATTCTTTGCATGACCTAGATCTACTGAGCGTCCATAGGAACCAAGATGGCGGGATATTGTCTTGTCTGTGACGTAGGGTAGGATTTTGGACATTTCCGGTGTCATGGGCGTCGCACTTCGTCTGCGATAGGACGCCGGGCTTTCTGAGTGTACTAGGCTATGCAGTTTAGAAATAAAACAATAAATAAGGATAGATTGTAAAGTAAATGAGAGAAGTATGATATAGTGAATAAAACGAAAAAGAAAAAAAAATTAGTTAATTAGTTAGGTAGTCTTTCCTTTTGGGCCTAGGAGGGGGCATAATACAACGGTTATAGCTCTCCATGTTTGGCGATTGGTTGACACCTGTTGAATGTTGAATGTTTATTAGGCCTATCGTTGAGCCTTCTCTGATGTTGATTCTACGTAGGGAATCGTTTGGTCTTTCCCGTTTTCTTTTCCCTTCCGGTGTTCATATGAGGGCGTGATAGGGAAGTCTTGTCTTGTCCATTCTGAGTGCATGGCCGATGTAGTTCCAGCGGCGCTTTCTTATACAATTGGATATAAAAAGATATGCTAGACTGTAAATGAAAATGTATTCAGGTACATTAGACTGAAAACAGAAATGTAGAAATGTATGATAGAATAAAAAAAAAAAAAAAAAAAATAATGATAATAATAAAAACACGCAACATTAAATTCTAGTCTGTAAATAACAAATCTAAACATGTGTAATCAGTAAAGTTAAGTAAGGGATCCCTTTTCCACGTCATCAGGCGTATCGAGCATATAGGGTTAGACCTATATTTTATAGATCAATCCTCACTTGGCCGGCGATGTTGCCACGCCAACCACCCTTATACCTGGTACCCACTCAAGAATGGGTTGACCTTGTAGCCAAGGTCATTGAAAAATCCGGCTTTGTCAGGACCGATAGAAAAGCAACCCCCCCCCCCCCCCCCCCCCCCCCCCCCCCCCCAAAAAAAAAAAAACAAAAGTAAAAGAAGACTAACAAAGATGTAGAAAGGTACAGTGCGTAATTAAAGGACCCTTTCCCACGCCTTCAGGCCTAGTGGTCAAATAGTGACGGACCTATATTTGATAGACAACACGGCACTCAGTGATCGATGAGAGTTGCCTTCACTTTCCAGACAGGTGGGAAGACAAGCAGGTAGATATATAGGCGAGCAGAGATGAGGTAGCCAAAATCATGTAGGCAATCAGGTAGGTAGGCAGGCAGGCAGGCAGGCGGGGATTAGGCAGTCAAACTGGCTGGCAGACAGGCAGACGGGCAGGTAGGTATGTAGACAGGCAAATATGCAGGCATGCACACAAATAGGCAGGTAGGAAGGCTGGCAGGCCGAAATTGAGCAGTTAAATAGACAGGCAGGTAGGTATGTAGACAGGCAAATAGGCAGGCATGCAGGCATGCAGAGATGAAGTAGCCAAACAGTCAGACAGGCAGGCTAATGGACAGGCAGGGAGTTAGGCAAGTTGCTAACAACATGTCTGCATCGATGTGTGAAGTGATTGCTATGAAACGTAAAGGTATATTTTTGGTACTACGCCCGATGATTTAGTACGTTTTAGAAACTTTGCATCAGTATTTTAAACTTTAGCATTGTGATGAACCGTTAAAAAAAAAAAAAAGTGAAAACGAATGTACTGCAAAAAAAGTGGTTTGCTAAAGTACCATTTCTTCTTATATGGCGTTCATCTGCAGATGTCTTCTTCTTCTTCTTCTTCTTCTTCGCGTTCACCAGCTGTAAACTCTGGCGGAAGGTTCTGGTTGCTCGTCCACTACTGAACTGCAGTCCTGCTCCAGAACCTGAGTGTTGCGTGTGCATCAGTTTTACAGATCTCATTCTCTTGAATACAGACTGTTGGTTCCTTGCCTCCCCGGCAGATGCACTCCGACTTCAAAGGAAGCTCCCCAATTAGTCGACTCTTACGACATGCTTTTGGGGAGGCAGTGGGTCTATTCTTGTTTTCCCCACAATGGGGCCCCGGAACCCACACGGGGGATCTGCAGATGTAAACACGTTGTGACCCTTTACTGCCACGGCTGTGATATTTGCTCTTTTCGGCTGATACATCCGACGTCTGCAGGTATTTGTTGGTGGGTTAAACTTTCGGGTATAGAACCATTTGAAGAGCGCATTTACTTCAGTTTCAAAGGCCAGTGCAGGATTGTCTGTCCAGAAAACTCGCAGATGGTTATTTTTCATGTCTTTTGTTCCAGGTTAACCTTCTAGTTTATTTGATGCTCAGGCTTTTCTGATTCAGTTTTGTTTAGAGGTATTTTGTGAGATTTTGTTTATACGTTTATAACGGTTCCCGTCGACCAATATGGGGAGAGTGGATAAAAATATTAATGTTAGTGTAGTGGTGATAATGATAATTACAAATTTTTTTTTTAATAAGCAGCAAAAGTTAGCATCTGCTTTAGGGAGAAAAAGTATCATTAAAGTTGCTCACAGATAAAAAAAAATACCGATCATGGTTTATTTGAACAAACCGAACAGAAAAGAATTTAATAATTGAATTCTAATCAAATATGAGGAAAGACAGATAAATATATATGTGTGTGTGTGTGTGTGGATGTGTGTGGGTGTGTGTGGGTGGGTGTGGGTGTAGGTGGGTGTGGGTAGGTGTGGGTACAAATGCAAAATGGGTAGGTGTGGGGTGTGGGTAGATGTGGGTTGGGGCCTCCGGATAGGTGGGTGTTTGAGGTGTGGGTGGGTGTGGGTGGGTGGGTGTGGGTGGGTGTGTGGGTGTGTGCGTGCGTGCGTGCGTGCGTGTGTGTGAGTGTGTGTGTGTGTGTCTGTGTGTGTGTGTGTGTGTAGAGCCACGCATTTCATGATCCTTACCGGTGCACAGTGCTTAGAATTTGCAGACTCGGACTTGAGTTAGAAGTAGAAGTGAGCACTTATGTGTTTACAAACGTGTGCCATGATGTTGATCTGTCGACTAATCTAAACTAAACTATATGTGTGTGTATGTGTGCGCGCGCGTATGTGTTTTTTTCTTTTAAGACGTCGTAACGGCTTTTTAATTAAAATAATTAATGTGCTTTTTGGTGTATTCTGACACCTTTAAAGAAAATGGTACTATTCCCAAAATAATCGGTCCCCATAAAGCACAAATGCCAAATTACGACATATGAGATTAGATCAGCCGTTGTCAACCTCTGGATAGCGACCCCTTTGAGGGTCGAACGACCCTCTCACAGGGGGCGCCCAAGACATTCGGAAAACACATATTAACTGAATTTTTGAAGATGCAACGAAAATAATTTATTGTTGGGGTCACCACGACATGAGGAAAAGCATAAAAGGGACGCCACAACGTGAGGTTGTTGCGTATCCTCTAGAGGACGTTGCAGAACCAACCCTAACAGCCCCTGGCTGTTGTGTGGTTTCTCTAGGCAAATTTACGTCCAGTAGTTTGCCATTGCTTCCTGGACGGTCGGCTTTCTTGATACCACTGTCGAAACCAACGCAAGGCGCATTGCCCGCAGCTGGGATCGAACCTGGCATCCCGGCATTACGAAGCGAAGTGTTCGCATCGACTTAGCCACAGAGCCGACCACAACATAAGGCAACTGTATTAAAAGGACACAACAACATGAGGAACTTTATTTTAGGGACGCCACAACATGAGGAACTTTTTGAAGGGACGCCACAACATAAGGAACTGTATTAAAAGGGCACCACAACATGAGGAACTGTATTAAAAGGACACCACAACATGAGGAACTGTATTAAAAGGATGCCACAACATGAGCAACTGTATTAAAAGGACACAACAACATGAGGGAGTGTATTGAAGGGACGCCACAACATAAGGCAACTGTATTAAAAGGACGCAACAACATGAGGAACTTTATTTAAGGGACGCCACAACATAAGGAAATTTTTGAAGGGACGCCACAACCCGAGGAACTGTATTAAAAGGACGCCACAACATGAGAAACTGTATTAAAGGGACGCCACAACGTGAGGAACTGTAATAAAGGGACGCCACAACATGTGGCACTTTTTGAAGGGACGCCACAACACGAGGAACTGTATTAAAGGGACGCCACAACACGAGGAACTGTATTAAAGGGACGCTACAGCATGAGGAATTGTATTAAAGGGGACACCACAACACGAGGAACTGTATTAAAGGGACACCACAACATGAGGAACTGTCTTAAAGGGACACCATAACTGGAGGAACTGTATTAAGGGACGCCACAACATGAGGAACTGTATTAAAGGGACACCACAACCTGAGGAACTGTATTAAAGGGACACCACCACATGAGGAACTGTATTAAAGGGACACCACCACACGAGGAACTGTATTAAAGGGACACCACCATATGAGGAACTGTATTAAAGGGACACTACAACATGAGGAACTGTATTAAAGGGTCACCACAACATGAGGAACTGTATTAAAGGGACACCACCACATGAGGAACTGTATTAAAGGGACACCACCACATGAGGAACTGTATTAAAGGGACACCACCACATGAGGAACTGTATTAAAGGGACACCACAACATGAGGAACTGTATTAAAGGGACGCCACAACATGAGGAACTGTATTAAAGGGACACCACCACATGAGGAACTGTATTAAAGGGACACACAACATGAGGAACTGTATTAAAGGGACACCACAACCTGAGGAACTGTATTAAAGGAACACCACCACATGAGGAACTGTATTAAAGAGACACCACAACCTGAGGAACTGTATTAAAGGGACACCACAACACGAGGAACTGTATTAAAGGGACACCACAACATAAGGAACTGTATTAAAGGGACACCACAACACGAGGAACTGTATTAAAGGGACACCACAACACGAGGAACTGTATTAAAGGGACACCACAACATGAGGAACTGTATTAAAGGGACACTACAACATGAGGAACTGTATTAAAGGGACACCACAACATGAGGAACTGTATTAAAGGGACACTACAACATGAGGAACTGTATTAAAGGGACACCACAACATGAGGAACTGTATTAAAGGGACACTACAACACGAGGAACTGTATTAAAGGGACACCACCACATGAGGAACTGTATTAAAGGGACACCACAACACGAGGAACTGTATTAAAGGGACACTACAACATGAGGAACTGTATTAAAGGGACACTACAACACGAGGAACTGTATTAAAGGGACACTACAACATGAGGAACTGTATTAAAGGACACTACAACACGAGGAACTGTATTAAAGGGACACACTACAACATGAGGAACTGTATTAAAGGGTTGCGCGGTTGAGAACCACTAGATTAGTATAAGAAGGTTGAGAACCACAAGAAGGGAGATTGTATTAAGAAGAACTAAGAATAATGGAAGGCACAGTGCCGGTAAATGATTTTAAAGAACATAAAATTATTAAATGGTTTGGTTATCTGATCAGAATAGAACAAAATCAGCGAGAGAGATTTATATATAAGAAGAATTAAGAATAATCTGAAGGGGGCACAATATGGCAGGCCATAATATGGCAAAATGATTTCTGGAAACGGCGATCAGTATTCATCATGGGTGGCAAAAATTATCAAATGGTTTGGTTATCTGATCAGAATAGAACAAAATCAGCGAGCAGCTGGAGCATACTACATGAGAACAGCAGGCTACAAGGCAAGAGGCTGACCAAGAAGGAGATGGGTAGAGGGAGTAAAAGAGACACTACAGAAACGCAGTCTGACATTAACACCAGATACGCAACTAGGAAAGTAAAGGAAACTACTCTTAACTCCTCTTTGTGACGCTTTATTACATACGCAGTAGATCAATGGCGTAGGACAAGTGGATCGATGAATTGCAAGACCGTGGAGAGCTGATTAATATCAGAATCTTGAATTAGTTAACGAGTTTCTTCTGTCTTGGATCAATCAATCATTCAATCAGGTGTCGTCTCCACAAGCCAGCAATGGTCCAGCCTACTGTGTTTCTTAGTTACTGGTACCATCGGAATTGAAACTTTTCGCTTGCTGTTGAAGAAGCGCTATTGGGATTGCCCTGAGTCTTATGATGTCAGATTTTAATTCAACATTCAGCTGTTTCATGACGTGGTTGAACGCCCTCTCATACTGCTGTTCGTCTATCTCTTGATATTGTCCTCCCACTTGTATCGTTTTCTACTTCTTGCTCTATTGCCTTGTAGTTTTCCTTCCATTAAAATTTGTTCTTTTTTTTCCTCTTAGCGCCTACCAGCTGTACTTTCTGGCATACAGTCTTGGTTGTTCTTCCACTCCTGGACTTTGGTCTTGATTCACAACTTAATTTTGCGTACACATTTGTTTTACAGATATGGCTTTTTGTGTGTGTGTGTACCGACTGTTGGTTTTGTCCCTCAGGCAGATGAATTCTGACTCTAAAGGAAACATCCATGGTATAGTCGTCCCCATGTGGGATGCAATTTTGTGTAATTTGAAGCCGCACCCTGCCTTTTGCCGGGAGCCCTGAATATAGTCGGGCCATAAACATGGCCTAACGGCTGAATGGGGTTTCTGGGACCTTTCCACGGGTGATCGTATCCGCATGGTGGCACTTTGTGTCTTGTCTTGTCTTGTCTTGTCCACAATTGCCTCACAGCGTAGTGGGGAGTCGCAGTTTTCTATCCTGGGCCAGGTGTGTTGCACTTGTTGTTAGTCCGTGTTGCATCAGGATCTCTGATATATTGTCTATCCATCGTACTCTCGGTCTGCCTCTTGCTCTAGGGCAGTAGTGCTGTTCGTTGTATGCACTTTGTGTCACCGAGTGTTTATTGCTTGTGTGATGTCCTGGTGGGGTACAACAAGAGAGAGAGAGAGAGAGAGAGAGAGAGAGAGAGAGAGAGAGAGAGAGAGAGAGAGAGAGAAACATCAATGCTGTCTGCGTTGACCAGGCTAACAATAGGAAACATGTTTCAAAGATGACCACAGAAAGATGTAGGTAAGTATAGTCCAGTGCGAAGCCTAGTCTTGGTGTGATTCTTGAAAAAGGTGTTTTGTATTTTTATATAGCTGATCTCCCAGTGTAGTTTCCATGGCATCACTTGAAGAAACAATGTAAAGACCCACCTCTTCCCTAACAAGTGAGTCAGTTAGTCGACAGGCTATCCTCATTGCGCATTGAACCAGTCATTCCATAAGTGCTCGGATCCCCTCCTTGGTAAATCCCGCAGCGTGTAGCAACTCACGACACCAGTTCTGTGTTGGTTTCTTATTCTTCTTTGGCTTCCTGCATAGTGCTCTTGTCTGGCCACACTCTTATTAACATACTGTTCTTGCAGTCTGGTCATGGTTAAAGATTCACAGTCATCACTTGGCTTTCGCAAACGTCTTACTTCTCGTAGAGTATTCAGAATATTGCATGGTCAGCCATCCACAATGGCTTTCTTTACCTGCAAACCAATTAGCTTACCAAGCGTATCGCCACTCCCAGGTGCTATGTTAGCCTTTTCAGCCTAAACAGCCTCCAGAACTTTTATCTATGAAAATCGCTCCAAGCTTATCTAAAGATCCTTCTTTGAATCAGGTGTGTGTGTGTGTGTGTGTATATATATATATATATATATATATATATATATATATATATATATATATATATATATATATATATATATATATATATATATATATATATACCCGGCTCTTTAGTGAAGTTGGTTAAACCTGACTTTCGCGGCGGCCGGGTGACGAACTCCTTGTGGTCCGGGTTCACTCCCGGGGGTAGGCAGAAAAGCCACATTTCTCCCAGATTAACGGTACCTATAATAGAATCAAGGCCGAAAGGTTGCGATATCCATAGTACCGATCCAAAGGGTTTACAACTCATGGTTTCTGGATACGTTTAAAAAAAAAAAAAATATATATATATATATATATCAACAAGTACATGTGAGTCTGAACAGTTTAGCAACTTCTGTATGCCATCCCCCCCTCCCCCAACCACCCACCCCCCCTTCCCCATCTTTCCAATTTTAATTTCTCTAAGGTTCATTTAACGCCATCATATTATCCGGTTTATAGTCTTTCCCATGATCTTTGCTCTTTATGTCTCTACAGTTTGTCTCTCTGTGTCAGTTTTCTAGTAGGACATTTTCGTCAGGAGAACGAACGAACTAACTTTATTTTCAAAGGGTCACAAATTACATCCAGCCCTTCCAAACACCCATCTTCCACAGAACAGTTGTATTTCATCAAAAAAGCATGTTATTTTCTTATAAAAGCATACATAGTATGAATATCAAGAAAACAACACAAAAACAATAGTCCCTATTTCATGTTTTGCTGTTTGATTAATTGTATTATTGACTTAAAGTCCTAAAGATCAAGTTAAAGTCGAGAGAGGATCGACTTCATTACCCTAGATTATCCCATTTGGCTCTGTCCCTTTCCGCAGAACAACAAGTCGCCTGCCTAGAGCATCGCACAAAGCAAGAACCCCGTAGCTCCAGTGACGACCCTGGTGAATTTCCAAAATATACACGCATGAATTGAATAATGTGTCCGTGAAACGAACCCACGACCTCTAGAGCGCGAGGCAAGCAACTGACCACTTCGCCACAGATACCTACCGCGAAGTCCTTGTAACTGAAAACGAGTGACAGCAACAGAAGGTCTTGCTAGTCACACTCGCCATCACCACGGGCTGTAATACTCGTGCCACCGCCCCCTCCTCCTCATAACACAGTATAACACTACGGAAAGCGGAAAGACGGGAGAGTGCCAACTAAGTAACAGCAGACTGTTGAAAATAATAATAATAATAAGTACCTCATTTTTGTTGTGTGGAACTCAACAAAATACAGACGCTGCACTTAACAACACAGGTGAAGAAACTTAATATCCTTGTATCCTGCTATGGCACACACACAACAGCGCAAGGTCTTTCCCTTCTGTGTTCTTGTCACTAAAGACAAATTACCAGAAACTGTAACCTTATCGCCAGCTACTCGAGTTGTCACAAGGGCGCCTCTCGATAAAAGGCCAGCGCCTGACAACCATCTTTGTTGACATGAGCGTCTCCCACGGCGACCATATGTCAACGCATGCGCTTTGGACTATTACATGTGAAATAATCTGATTGAAAGGGAAGGCGTATAAAGGGAATTTAAGACGTGATTTCAGTCAGATTCGAAGGATATTGATTTATGTTTGTGCTAGGGGCGCCTACACACATAAAACTTGGCCGGAGATGCATTCCCACCCCTGGCATGTTTTCTTTTTCTTTTTTTTTTTTCGCGCGTTAACCGGCTGTAAACTCCGGAGGAAAGTTATGGTTGTTTCTCAAACTCTAGACTTTAGTCTTGTTCAAGAACCTAAGTGTTGCGTGCTCATTCGTTTGAAAGATCTGACTTAATTGTATGCAGAGTGTTGGTTCCTTGCCTCTCAGGCAAATGCATTTCGACTTCGAATGACGCCCCAAGTTAGTCGACTTTTACGACATCCTTGTTGGGAAGGCAGTCGGTCTATTCTTGTTTTCCCCAAAATGGGGCCCCACAACGCAAAAGGGTCTAAGCCGTGAGGCCAATACAGGGCCAGTACCGTTTTTTTAGGGCTCTCTTTTTTTGTTTTTACAAATCAATTGTCTAGTAGTAAGGGGCGGTGTTTGACACCCCAAACGGGCAAATCGATCCCTCTTTATCCTTACTAAAAGATGGCGGCCATAAGTAATTGGTTTTTTCCGGCGGTTGCAACCGCCAGCGTCTTTATCCTTAGTAAATAGGCTGTTGATGACGGCACAAGTGATTGGTTTTCGGGGAAAGGTGTATGAAATCGATACTTTGTCTCCCGGGGTGTTGGTATTTTCTTAAAGGGTAAGTTAATCGATATTTCTTTAGTGCAGGGCCAGCATTATGGCAAAGTGGCAGATGCTTCATTTCCCACACGCAGTCTTAGGGATTAGTGATTTTTTCAGGTTGCAGAGGGCGCGGTTCTCTTATGGTGGGAAGTAATGGCTACCCTGAATTTATAATATTCGAAGGTTCTGATTGGTCAGCGGGGTTTCAACGGCGCATGTCTTTCACTGGTCTTGACAAGGCGATAACTGAAGACGCTGGTTAACCCGATCACTATCCTTGGGGCACAGCAAGTCACCCGATGTTTTTCTTCACAGGACACCTTAAGTCACCCAAGAAACAGATCATGTCTTTCACTGGTCTTGACAAGTCGTCACTTAAGGTTCTTATAAAGTAGCTAACTGTCTTTCTCACACAGCAAGTCACTCGATGGTTTTCTCTACGGGACACTACAAGTCACTCAAGAGACAGAGCATGTCTTTCACTGGTATTGTCAAGTCAGTCACCGACGGTTCTTAGTAAGTAGTGCACTGTCCTTGGAACCCAACAATCACCCGATGTTTTTCTTGACGGGACACCTTAGGTCACTTAAGTCTTCCTCGTTGCTTCGGCGTTGTCAGCGTCCTCGTTGTCGTCTTCCTTGTTGATTTCGGCGGGTCGTCGTCTTCGGCGTCGTTGTGGCCTTTAATGTCGTCTTCGTCGTCGACTGCATAGCCCAAGTTTTTTACTAACCGTCCCGGATGTCTCGGACACGAGGCGACTTTAGGAAAACATGAGAGGCTTGCAGTTGTCTTCCTCTTAATTGCCTACCCATAAACCTAAGGCAACATTTAGCCAGCCTTGAACCTAGCTATAACCCTAAGCAACATTAAACCAGCCATAACCCTAAGCAACATCAAACTTACCTTAAAACTTTTAGGTAATAAGTAGATGACGCCTTCAGGCGTATTGGGCATAGACGGCTAGACCCATATTTTACAGAACAATCCGCACTTGGGGAGTGATGTGGTCAACATCACGCCAGCCGCCTTTACTTCCCCGGACTTTACTCGGTATTCATTCAAGGCTGGGTCGACCTGGAAGTCAAGTTCATTTTAACTTCTTTTGGTTAGTTCGACGTTAGTCTCCCCATACCCCGCCCATTTACACACTAGCTCACTTCTGATTGTTAGTTCCTGAGCCTCATAGCCTTCGCACACGGTTACGAGAGTGTTCCTCAATGCCGGTAATATCGCCTGTTGTATATTTCAGCACGGCAGCGCTTTTAACACTACAAACAAATTCGAGAAACTTGGTCTAACACAAACTCCCCCAGGGAGTTCTGCTAGCTATATCGCAAGCATTCTCTTTTTTGGAATGAAAACGTAAATGCAAGGCATCGCAGAAACCAAAAAGAGCAGGACACCCCCGTAACCTTCAGGAAAGCCGACCAGCCCAACAAACTTGTGAAGGAAAAATGACCTACTCTATTTGGGGAGACTAACGTCGAATTAACCCTTCTTTCTCATCTATTTGGAGGGGGGGGGGAGCAGGGTTGGGGGGAGTATCAATGTGATTGAATCCCTAAATTTGACGCCCCTGTCCCTACCTTCCCACCAGTAACACACTTCAAGTCCTCACTACCACTATAAAGCCTTGTCTGTTTACGTCTTTGGGTGAAGCTTTAACATGGGTTTAAGATTTCAACGCATGATTAAGTCACGGGGAACTTTTTAACTGGAGTGGGAATATTAACCTTAAACCGTGTCATAGCAGTTTGGCTGCCCAAAAGAACAGGTTATTTGGTCCCAGACGGGACTCTATTGACTGGCATTGACAGACTTAATCAATATTTGTGGCCCGACAGTGCACATGTCTCACATGATTTCTTTGATTTGTTACCCCCCCCCCCCCCACCCCCTCACTCCTTCTCTCCTGCCTATACAAATCTACAACATAGATTGCAGAAGCCGTGTTCTTAGTACCGTAACTCTTGTTGTACCAAGCAACGTACAGTGAGAGCAACATACAGTGAGAGCAACGTACAGTAAGAGCAACGTACAGTAAGAGCAACGTACAGTGAGAGCAACGTACAGTGAGAGCAACGTACAGTGAGAGCAACATACAGTGAGAGCAACATACAGTGAGAGCAACATACAGTGAGAGCAACGTACAGTGAGAGCAACATACAGTGAGAGCAACGTACAGTGAGAGCAACGTACAGTGAGAGCAACGTACAGTGAGAGCAACGTACAGCAAGAGCAACATACAGTGAGAGCAACATACAGTGAGAGCAACATACAGTGAGAGCAACGTACAGTAAGAGCAACGTACAGTGAGAGCAACGTACAGGGAGAGCAACGTACAGTGAGAGCAACGTACAGTGAGAGCAACGTACAGTGCGTTTTTCGTTATTCCTAAGAAAAAGAATAATGTTGGTGCTGTCCTCAGTCAGACACAATCATTATGCAGGTTGTCAGTTTAATGTCTATAGACTTTGACAAATCAATTATTTGCGCACCGTAATTAAATTGTTTATTGCGTCATATTTAAAGCGCCATGTAACCGTTAGTTTAGAATATCACTGCTATATACCAGTGTTTTCTTATCTTAGCACGGCTGTGGATGAGATCGTGGGTTCGGGTTCTGACGGTACGGGGCTTTTTTATGACTGGCTTCCAGGTTGACTCAGCCTTGAGTGGGTACGAGGTCGAGTCACGGGAAGTAAAGGCGACCGGCGTGATGCTCACCACATCACCTATCGATTCCCGTTTGGTCTATAAAAAAGAGGTCTAGCCCTATATGCCGAATACTCCTGAAGGCGTAAAAGGCGACCTGTTTTAAAATGATGTTAATTATTGAAGAAAGAGTATTTTTGGTTGAGTATGTGTCCCTTAACGGTGGCAGATATGTGAATGTGGTTGTTCAACAATTTATGATGTCATTTCCTGAAGCTCAGGTGCCTCATTCCAAAACTTTTAGCACTTCAACCGCTAGAATCGATTGTAGACAGAGCTGTAATGTGGAAAACCGTATCCAAAATAAGACACACTGTAGGAGTTTGGTTAGCTGCGTATCCTTTACAGGACGTTGCAGAACCAGCCCAGCAGCCTCGGGATGTTGTGTGGTTTCTCTAGGCAAACTTACGTCCAGTAGTTTGCCATTACTCCTGGACGGTCGGCCCCCTGATACCACGGTCGAAACTAAAGCAAAGCGCATGGCCCGCAGCTGGGATCGAACCCGGCACCCCGGCATTACGAAGCGTTCGCATTGACTTAGCCACAGAGCCGACACTGTAGCAGTATATGTTGCATTATTGAAAAACAGCAACATTTAAAAAAAAATACACATATATTAACTCTTTGTATTTGGATTACTACATTAACCTCTTCTGACCTAGCATGCTTCTTTCAAACTCACATAAAAATGTGTTGCTTTTAAGCTGAACTCATAGGAATACGTTGTAATGCCGGGTTCTATCCCAGCTGCGGACGATTTTTCTTGCGTTGGTACCGAGAACAAGCCGTTGAGAGAGAGAGAGAGAGAGAGAGAGAGAGAGAGAGAGAGAGAGAGAGAGAGAGAGAGAGAGAGAGAGAGAGAGAGAGACAGAGAGAGAGAGAGAGAGAGAGTGTATGTGTTTGTGTGTGTGGGTGGGTGGGGGGGGTGGGTCGGGGGGGGGGGGGCGTGCGTGTGTGCGTGCGTGCGTGTGTGTGTGTGTTTCTTTTTTTTTTCTACGCCCACTGTGGGTTTCAGTGCAAATACAAAGTAGTTATATTATTCTCATGATTTTTCAGTGTGTGTCCTGTCCTATCCAACGCCAGCGTCTTTTTTTCACCTCTTGGTCCACCTAAACTTGTTAATTCTCTCCTAAAGCTCAACTTTAGTGATTCTATCACAGTTTAAGACCGCCTATATAGTATTCATTGAACGAAAATCTAGGTTTGAAATCTCAGGAATGATTTTTTTTTCTCCCTTTAAATTTAGGTCCGAAATTCATTGTA